ACGGTACACATAGAGGAATTAATCAATGAGAGGGCGTCGGATGGCGGATCTTAGGAGCGAGCGATTAATTTAATAAATACCAACCGGATTCCTGTGCGTTTGTCTCTTCAGCTATGTGATGTCGTGCGCTGCTTCTACAATTACGCCCGTATCGGCACTTGCGTACTTTTGACGTCACCGTATCCACAGGTATTAAGGCAAGTTCCCGACCCATCGCCGTACAAAACATCCTACTTTACTATTCTATAATAATTAATTAGATTAATTTTACTACTACGAGATTGGATGAAATTTTGGTTAATGTTTTACACTAGTCAGATTTTCTTTATACAAGTTTATTTTAGAATTACATGAAATTAAAAAAATCAAACTTCACGAAAAAAATGGATCTATCATTAGCCCATTCATGTTACAGGACAAAGTAAAAATTTGAAAAAATGTGCTACATATTGTTGTCATGGAATGAAATTTGCTTTGTTTTGTCTAACGTGACACTGTAATGATAGAGTAACCCGAGCAGAGCAGAATGTAAATATCTAAAGTAAACTTTCAATTGCAAGTATTGCTATCATGCTTGAGATACGCAAGGTCTCTGAATAGAGAACTAAGAATATTGAAGAATACCTACATCGTAATTTTATTGCGTGGACAAACATCTTTTAACTATAGTGTACACGTTCACTCTAATGTATTAGTCAGTAACGTTATTTTTGTGTTTAAACTTATTCTAACATGTATTTTTAACATTGATAACATTTTAAAAATATACTTCTCTTTAAAACAAGTATAATTTTCTTTTAACAAAGGGTACATCTGATAAGTCAGAACGATAACATGACTAACTTTTAGAAATTTAAAATAGAAATTCTTGCTCAAAGGCATACAAATAATTGTGTTACTTTTTCGTGTCGGTTTATTTTAAACAAGGGTCTATGACCATACGAAATTTAAAAGGCCGCTGATAATTTATACATTTAACGGTAATGAATAAAATATTTTCTGTTTATATATTACGTACTATGTAGTTCCAGCGGAGTATATAGCTGCACTACGGAATTTATCTAACTTAGGTATCACACTAAATCCAAGTCACAAACTGAAACATTTGAAATGTTACTACATTATGCAATTTCAGCTTTTAGAGACTGTGTAGTAGTATCATACCCGTGTTGTATCTATTACATTGCTATACAGGTATATTGCACTGTACACCAGTACGCTTCTATTGTTAATATTCTAAATATTCGTTATGTTATGTTCTCATAACATATTGTCTATGATTTTCAAGACTCTAAAATTACATATGGTTGCGCTTATTTATTAATTTACTTAATTAATTAGCAGCGGTCCTTAAAATAGCCTTTGATTTTGTATCCTTTGGCATTTCTATAATTTGATTTACGACTGCGACACGCTTTGTGCGCATGTACCTAATTACATACATACTCATAGCTACCATGCATCAGTATGTGGTGTTACAACTCATTACTTAGTGCCGATTTTAGATAAATTACTATCTTCTATCTATGGCATTAGGGTTTTTTTTGTAAGATGTACGAATCTTTGGATATTTATTATATGTAGGTATATTTATGTGTATTTAATTAACTGGTGCGGTACTTTAATATTTTTCAGACATATGAATGTTTATGGTCAACGACTTGAAAAACGTTGAGGTTAAATAATATATGAAATGTCATTGTGTGGTCATTTCATACGAAATCATGTCAGTATTAATAAAGTTGTTAGCGTTTAAACTTTCAGTTTAACAAAAATTATTGAAACTCTATTAAATACTTATTGCGAAGTATCTTATAATTATTTAGATCGCCTTTTTATATAAGAAAAGCTACACGTCCTTATTATGCTTAATATGAAAATAAAAATTTATTTATGGCAGTTAAAAAATATAAATGTAGAAGCCAATACAAATATTTCTAAAAGCCAGTAATTATCTTTTAAGATACTTATATTAACTTCTCTAGGTTTTATTAATAGTTGTGAGAGATTCACATGATTTTTTTTTATTTGAGATCCAAATAAAAAATAATCATGTGAATCAATCAATGAATCAATGAAAACACTTAGAGAAAAAGTACTGTTGAGAAATTTTTACTTTATGTAATATAAACTAAAAATTTCTCAAAAGTATTTTCAATTACCAAAAAGAATTTAGGAGAAACCTACAACATAATAATTATTACAAATCCTATTATAATTTAAGTGAAATATTTGTACCTAAAAAATCACTTTACTTGTCTGTTAAAATAATAAAGGATTTTTAGCAATTTGTAAATAAAAGAAATAAAATATTTTAAATAACAAACATCTCTTTATTTTAATATTTATGTACTGGACATTGATAAAGAAATACATATATTCATCGTATCATAATTATGTCACATTTATATCTTATTTATGTATTATAATTTGTAGAAGTTAAACAGTTTTATTTAAGAAATTACATTCTCGTAAGTGAAGACAACACCTGTATTCCGAGCATGAGGTAGATAGGTTCAATGGCAAATCTTTATAATGAGAATATTTAAGATTGGAATACGCTTTATATTATATACATAAAACATCGTACTAATTAATCTAGGAAATAGTCATTGTCAAGTTTACAAAAAAAAAATAAACAACTATGTAAGAAAACAATAAATTTACAAATCTATAATTTATATAGGAACTCAAGTGAATTGCAAACCATGTAGAACTAAATGTGACTTCACAACTGCGCCTGCGATTTTTATTTAGCGCTGTTACGACGATATTCGCCGATTTCAATACTGCAGTCAGCACTTTTGGTATACATATAACCAAGTTAGGTAATTAAATAAAATTAATTAAAAATCAGTCTCGTACAGTAATTGTTATGACTTCATGAGATCCTTGCTTATTAGCTGTCAGGGTCAGGTATAACCCTGCTATTTTGTACGTTATCTCAGCGAAGATAAACAATAGAAAATATTCCAAGAACTTTGGCTCTTTACCCTGGCGCAGTAAACCGTAATCGGATGAGGTAGATAATGGCACCGTTCGTCTTACATTAACTTTACTTTTCTAACTACTATAATTTTACAACATTGCAACATGGAATTACGACTCCTAATTAATAAGTATCATTAAATTTGTACACATTAACTTTTGTACCAATAATTTCTTTGGAAAAAAATATTTCGTATTTTTACTTATCTTTCGTATAATAGAGAGACCCTACACGCCGTCAACTTACATCTAAGAAAAAATAAAATAATAATAATCAACAATCAGTATGTACTGCTTAAATACTTAGATACAATCATCATAAATCATGTGCGCTAAACATTCAGAACAACTATCAAGTTTTTAAATTAGAGATTAAACGAAGAAAATAAACACATTACAACTAGTAGGAAACTAATACCCGTAGAACAAATTGCAGCGATACGCGGCCAGCCTGCGCGCACCGAGTGACCAAGTGGGTCCCGGTGGCGGGATGCCGCGCCGCGTCGCGCACACGTTCGCCTCACACTTAATTTTCCATTAATATTACATACATATAGTTACATAACACTTGGGCAGTGTACAATCAGAAGAGAACTAAGTCAAACTACATATATAATTATATACATTTATCCATATTACTATAAATATTCTGACTGTTTCCTTAAAAACTACAAAGAATATCTACTTAACATATCAATCCTAAGTGTACAAAGCCCGTATTTAAAATAAGTATCAATTACTCATGTCATCTTGACTTCTTTCAAAACTGCACAGCCTGCTGTGATGAAGATGTTTTAATGTCTCCTCATTCTATTCCACTCAATTGATTACATTGGTCTGACATGATCACTAAAAATATATATATACATGTAATATTTAACATTATTAACCGTTTTCTATGTATAGACGCGGTAAACATACCTTCACATCTAGGATACTACTACTTCTAAGTAATAAATAATTTTGTAAGGACAGCATTATATACAGAAGCATGTTGCGCGCGATCGCCAGTCGGCCAGTCCGCCGCCGCTGTTCCATCTCACTTATTTATTTATATCAGATCGGTTTATTATAATCACATCTAATGCCTATAGATTCCAAACAACCATCCCCTATAGGAGTATTAACCCATACTGAATAAGTATCGGTTACGCGTCGGTTGACATTACGAGTACATTGAAATAAGTACAAATCAGTGATATTTTCAAAGGTCTTTGTATAAAAACTTCAGAATTGTGTATTATAAAAAGAACGATAATAAACCGGTTGCGCGAAGGAGCGACGGATCAGGGTGAACACAATGGAGATTGCTTTGTCCATAACGCGGAACTCGTTGCCAAATCAATACTTAATAATTACGGATTGTGAACTAGCTTTTATAAGAAGAATAATAAGTCAATGTCGCGACCTTCTACGTCTCAGCCATAATATTCCGGTTCCCGTTCATCAAGCACGATAGGAGGACGACTACGAACGTGGATCAATAATAACCGTCGGACCTAAGTAAAACATTTTAGTTTGTGTCAAGAGACAATAGACTACGCCAATAAATCAAAAAAATCCTTTTGTGCAATATATTCTCTCTGTTTTGCAAGTTGCAAGACAAAAGAACAAACGGTTACGTTTTTGCGTTACCTAGCATTGCGATTATGCAAATGGTATGACAATAAGTTCTAAACTGTAACACGAATGAAAAAAGTGTTTTTTATGATGAAAATTGCCAATGCGCAATGATAAAAAAGAATAGACGACTACCTAACGAGACTTCGTCAGTAGTTTACTAAGAATATAAAAAAATGCAAGAAAAAATGTCTTTGCAATCTTTAGTAGAGCAAAAATAATTATTGTTAGTTTCAATAAAATACGTCTTTAGAATAAACTGTAAAGGCGAAGGTTCTGGAATCATTACAAAAAGTGAACAAGTGAACATCGGCGACGTCGGCCCGGCAGCAGCGCAGGGTCTACGCGGGAGGAACTCGTATACCGGCTCAGCGGCGCATAGCGCGCAACGACTACGCAGAATGAACGCGCAAGTCGGTGGGCGAGTCCGGCGTGGCCGGTCTCCTAGGTAGCGACAGGTCCTCGGGCTCCGTTTGTTCGGGCCACTCATCCCAACGCCAATCCGGCGCTGATGCCGCCGGTGGACTAGGCATATCAGGTTCACAGCCGGTACCTGAGCATCTGTGTAATGCTGCAGCTTGCCGGCGTCTAAACCTAGCTCCACAGCGGCACGCGAATGGGGCATCTCCTTCATGTACTAAAGCATGAGCTTTCAGCTGGTTTGAATCAGAAAAGCGAGCCGGACATCGCGCACATGCATATGGCCGCTCTCCAGTGTGGACACGTAGATGCCGTCGTAAGTTTGCAACTTGCACGAAGTGACGTGGACAATGTGGGCAACTGTAAGGTTTTTCTCCTGTATGAAGACGTAAATGCGTTTTCAGATGATGATCGCGGGTAAACCTTTTGTGACATTCGCCACATTCAAATGGTTTTTCACCTGTGTGCGTGCGCTCATGATTTTGTAGGACATGTTTGTAGCCGAAAGAGCGGGAGCAAACTTTGCAAGTAAATAATTTATCCCGTGGCGGATCAGTCGCACCTGGAGAGGAGCCCGAAGAAGGTGGAGAAGGTGGAGCTGTAGACGTGGTGTCTTCAAGCTTGGGTGTTCGCCGTCGTTTCCTAGTTCTTTCAAACTCTGGGGGTGGCAACAGTGGTGCCGGTGGTGACGGAGGCCATGCTGCTAGTAATGCGCCAGAGTACAACTCGGCGGGTAATCCTGCGACAAGAGCTGCGGCGCGGGTAGCCAAGAGCCGCTCTGCTAACATCGGCAACGACTCCTGACGCATAGTTGATAGGGGCCTCACTGACACACCTAAACAAAAGAAATAAATATCGTTACTTGTTTTATTTATTACTGATAATTATTATATGAGCATCATAACAATATTATGTAACTTCATTATGTATTGGTATTTCAAATTCGATATGACAAATAAATAGATCAATACAAAAGTAATAAATTTGTTAAGTGTAAAAATAAAATAGAACTTGGTGTTCGTCGCGATCACTTCCGTCATGGGTTAGTTTCGGCCTAAATAAACAACGAAGTCGATGCTATCGATAGCATACTTATCAGCGAGAGAGGGCAAAAAAACACAGCAAAAACCATAAGCCAGACGCTGCGGAGGAAACATTTGGTCGCAATCACGACGCTGCAGGTCGCTTCCGCCCCGACCTGTTGCGCAAATCGCTGTTACGAACCTCCTCTAAACCCATTTCTACCAATTTGACTCGCGTTCATACATAGTTCATACTTCATAGTACGTTAAAATAACAAATTATTCCCTGTAATTGTTAGTTTACACACCAGTGAGCAATCAATCCATTGAGAATTAGGAAGATGAGTTTGTGAAAAGTGTCATACACCGCGAAGGGGTGGCGGGGCAGGGGACGAACGGTCCACTTACCTATATAATGGAATTAATTATTCCTCGAGCGGCAAACTCCGCCCGCCCGCTCCGCCCAAATTATATTCAAATATTAATTTCGACGAAGAAAAGCCTTTTTGAGAGCACTTAATTAAAATTAGACAAAATTATAATTGAAAGTTCTCCTCGAGGCGTGAAGAGGTGGCACGAGGAGGGGGGGTTTTTACATTATCTACTTAGCCCTGGAATTAATTTCGGGACATTCTTTGTTCTGCTTTTAATTGAAAATAGTTTACCTATTGTACTTTCGATGTAATTCATAGGGAATCACAGACGCATTATGACATAAGAATATATGTCATAATGTGTCTGTAAGCAACACGATTTAGAACTTCAGTCTAATACAACAGAAATTATATAGAATAAGTAATAAACTAAACATTACACAGAACCAAAAATTAGGAATCATTACTATAATCGTTTAATGTATAACAAAATTCCCACAAAAAAATGTGTATACATGCAAATAAATATAGCAGATTTCGTTGTCGGACTGAATAAATAATTTTCGCTGGAGTGGATATTATTCAGAGTACGCAACGCAAGATAATTTTAAAGTTTGTGATTAGACGGGGAACGGAGACGTCGGGTTGGTAGAGTCGGGCTCCAAGCTCACAGCCGGCACGTACCACCGGCTTATCCCATAACTTTTTAATAACATTCCTCTCGCTGTTTTGAGAACGAACAATGAACCGCAATCGTGATGTACCAAGAATTATAATGGCCTACTGTACAAGTTGAAACAAGTAAATAAATACATAATGCCCTCATTGTTAAACATAAATTAATGTCAAACAACAGAAAATGCTTTCCTACATAATAGCGCCTTTAGTACATGAAATATAATTTTAAATAACGTGATATATTTATAGCATAATAATTTAATTTGTTAATGTGTAAATGAGTTGTATTCCTTTATGTCGAGTGCGGCGTTAAAGTTATCCTTTTTATTGGTAGGTCGCCCCGTCGGGTGACAATGTTGGTGATAAATTTTTACAGCGTGGCGCACCCTTCCGCGCAACGCTTTTTATGTGCTAAAGAGTTGTAATTATCCCCTCTTTATACGCCATAAATATTTGTCAATAACCCATATTCAATACTTTTATGGACTTGCCTGCGGCTGCCACTCCATAACTCATTATTGCGCAAGGGTTTGCTGATAACCAAAGTGTCAATGACTCACTTATTCTTTTGTAGCTGCTAGTTAATGTTTTATATTATTGAAATATCGATTAAAATTATACTGTATAGATTTTTTTAATTTTTAAATTAAAGTATATCTAACTTTTATGAATTTTATCTAATTATATATAGCAAGCATTAATTATACTTATTTTAAATAATTAAATAATATTAAATCGTTCGCTAATAATGTAGCTTTTCCATAAGTGGCAGAATTATTTAAATACGGTTAATTTTTTTTCTGTTTATCTTTATTTGTGTTAGCATCGGTGATCTATCGATTTAACACACCATCTTACTTGTTTTATTATATTTATGAGTTCAACACACATTATAAAATACAAATTTTATAATATACTATCTTATTTAACAGAAATGACAATAGTAAGGATTATAAAAATAATATAAGGACTCGGTCTATGAAGCCCTATATTGTAACCACCGTGCTTAACCCTAAACCGCCGAAACCGTAGGAGCTCAGTAATCTGAGCGAGTTCGTGCTTACGTTGGCGTCGGTACCATACCTATGCGGCAGGTTAATCCCATTATAATAACGATTATTGAAATTAGGTCATCGTTTGGCAATGTTGCTTGTCCGTAATAGAACTTCTTCGATTATATTGCAAATCAATCTTACCAACGGCTACTACTTACCCATAGCATATGATTAATAAATAATTAAAAGTATAATAAGAATAACTCAGGACTATCTATACGTCGCCATTGTCTCAATCTAAGCAGATCTTGTGCTTTAAATAACCGAGAGAAATATATATTTTTTGTAAATACAAAAACAATACTTATAAAAATTGTATGTATGAAGCCCTATATTATTATATGACCATCGTGCTATCAAATTTAGATCTGTAATAAAAAAAAGTACGCTCCATTACCTAAGTTGAGTTTGATGAGGTTCCTTACAAATTGCTATTTTTTAATTGAATGCATACATTTTTTTAAAACTAACGTAATGTTTTCTAAATATAATATTCTAATTAATTTGTAATTAAAAAACAAAATGTTTTGGAGTTGAAATTTTGGAGGAGTGAGCAGTTTTTTGAACTAACGTAAGTTCAAAAAACTGCTCACTCCTCCAAAATTGCCTATGCTTTGCGAAATCTAAATATAATCAATATCCGAATTACTGAGTACAAGATATAAATAAATTAATATACCTTTTTTAAATGTTAGTAAACAATCTTGGAATGTGAGAGGAAAATATTTTGAATTTAATAAACTGTGTAATTACATACACATTCTCACGATTGTAATCACAGATAGGCTAGTCAGAAACGATGTTAATTGTGGTGAATGTAACATTTGGCAATCCGACGGCGGATATTTAAATCAAATCCGTAGTGGCAGGGGCGAATCTACCGTTATCTCTTGGAGAAATTTGATTTGCAAAAAAACCGAATATTGCCATAGTTAAAAATTGAAACCATAATACTTTTATTTACATATTATATAAATATTTTGGCGTCAATATTGAACGACATATATTTTATTGGAAGATTTAAATTAGTACTTCATTTTAGTATTACTTACACTATAATATGATGTTTTATAGTGAAAATATTTCTATTGGTTTACGTAAACGTAAATGTAAATTTATAAATAGTCTCTTTGAATATTTTCTTGCCGTTAAATAACTTAAAAGTATTTATACATACATACTTGTGTATATTTATCCTTTTTTTATGTGAATTCTTCAATCTAAAAACTTCTCTTTAACGTATTCATTGTTACTTTCAAAACATATTTGAGAACAAATTTAAATACATATACCTATATGTATCATTATTTTCTATTATTCGTATTCAGTTCAAAGTTTTCGTTATAAATTCGGTATTACAAAAGCTATTAAATATTAAAATGAATGTAAATGTTTCTTTTAAAGAAAATATGACTCATTCCTTTTGCGTATCTATACTAGTCGCTAAATTAGGATTCAATAGAAGTAATTAAGTACGTTTTCCTGTGAAGTGATTAATCGAAATAAATTCTTCTGAGTAAAAACTTTCACATTACGTTTATATAAATAACATTAAAATTAAATATAGAAAAAAATCAAATACGCTTTATCCGTTTACCTTGGAATTATTTTTGTGAATATCAAAATGTTTTACTTAAATTTTTAGATATATTTAATATGAGTATATTATTTATCAACAATGGTCTAACGGTTTAGCACACTGCTTTACTTTTGATAGTCGCGGATTCGAATTCACGATGAAAGCATTTGTATTCATGAATATGAGTCTTTGTATCTGTCTGGATGTTTTCTTTGTATATTGTGTATGTATTTGCAAAAAAAGGTATCTATGTATTTATATCAGTTGTCTAGGACACAAACTCTACTTAACATGGGACTCTACCTAACTGATGAGGCTGCGTAAATTGTCCAGGGTTGTTATTATTATTATTATACTAGGAATTGTAAACTGACCACTCAGTTAAAATGTGCTTAGAGTCGCAGAGATTGCATAATAAAATAAAAAGTGAATTAAGTTAATAATTTTAACGAAAACTCATTGATTTGAATATTTATGAAAGCAAATCGAGGTGTATTATTGATATTTATGTATATCAATAATTATAATTAATACATGAAAATGTCCGGTACACCTACGATTCTTAAATTATCATAGGGCATTTCATATGATTCTATAACGTCACACCGTCTATATACAGACTAATTATGTACAAAAATAAACTACATTTAATAAAGTACAATATTTGTAATTACTAGGTATACTAAGTAACTTGATCATAATAAAAATAGATCACAATAGATCACATAGAAATAGTAAAATCAAACTTAGAATAAAACATAATGTGGAAAAAATATTAAGGAATCTATTTAAATCAATTATGTCAACATAAGAGGTAAAGTTTGATAAGAATTATAAAAACAATACTTACTGTATGAAAAAAACAGTGAATTCAAAGGGGCCTAAAATTATTTTCACTATAAAATAACAAACTACAACGTGAACTAGTTCATATTTTCAGTATGTAATTAATACTCTATCATATGTAAATGAATATAATTTGAATTGTCTACGAAAATTATAACAAACGCCGTAGCTTCGTGCTACGGATCAAGTAATATGACATCAGAGCCGTAGCGGGCCGCTACGCTCTCGCTGCCGCCTACGGTTCACTGAATCTGTAAAAGCTCGGTTCAAATGCAAATAAACATGTGTGCTACGCGAGCGGCGCGGTGGCGGCCAATCGCCGCGCTCGTTACACGCATGTCGCGTGCCGCTAACTTTCGAAACTTTTTGCACACATGCACTTCCTTCAGATTCAGCAGATCGAGGAGACAACGAGGCGCACTATATTAAATCTTCACCAACCTCTCGAATTCTGCGTCGACTGCAGCGACAGGGCCATCTCACATCAATTCACGGAAAATGCATTTATTCGCGCCACTCGTTGTTATATTGGGAGATGTCTGGCGATTATTTAATTGTAAACTTTTTTTTCAAATTTTATTATAATAAATTAATGAACGATGCTTTTTGGAAGCCGATGACATGTTATGTCGGCGCGAAGTCGCGATTGTGAATGATCAGAGAGCGTGGTACGAGCACGCTCCGTGTGACCTACCACAACACTGACGGCTAGCGGTGGCGGCGAGCGTGCGGCAGCCGCCCCTCCGCGCTATAAACACACCCCATTGCCCCTCCCCGCGCGGCCACAGCACCCGCACCCCTCGCCGCCCCCGATGCACTCCACGTGTGCACGCAATGCATTCACTTTTTATGGCCGCTACTACATTATGTTCCTTCCTGGCGCAGTTTTTTAGTGCTGCCGCCGCACGGTACAAATGCCACATAAGCGCTTTTTATGTTCATGAGCTCCCGTTTGGGGCGGGCGGTACACTCTCCTACAAGAACTAATTTGAGAACATACTAAGATTTACTATCTGCTGTCGTATCATTACTTATTATTAGTGTAATAGATAATGTTTTGTGTATTATATGTATCAGGCATAAAACTTTAAGCACTTAGGAATTAGATTGCTTTTAAAATAAGTTTGTTTTATTGATTATTATATTTGCAGTACAGAAATAATTGAATAAATCTCATAATTTATTATTTGAAATTAAAGACTCAAGAATCAAAATTGATCCTAGATATCGTATTGAAATTCTAGAACTTGGTTTGTAATTGTGACTTACGTACTGGACCTTATTATTTAAGAACACTCTTGTATCATGTGCAACGTTATAATAATTTAATTAATATGTATGATGCTTAAGTTAAAGGACAAAATTTCCCTCGAAAATGTCAGAAGTCAGTTTGTCATAACAGAAAAAATATCTCATCCACATTACTGACTATGAATAGCTACTTATGAGAATATATGTATGTTATTAGTATATATTAAAATTACAATCACGGATGATGTGCATATTATATTTTCGAGTTAAGTTATAGTTTTCCAAGGGTAAATTGGGAATTAAAATTAATTAAATACGCACTAATGTTGATATACCTACAGGTGAATAGTTAATTGACAAACACATTTTAAACGATTATTTTAGAAGTTGCACTAGATTTTTTAATGGGCTGTTTGTAACTCGATTAGATAAATAGGTCTGCTCTGAAGTCTAATCGATTTTAATCTAATTCAGTTTTATACTGTTTTGAAACGTATTAATCAAGATTAAACCGAACAAATGTATAACAGTGTTAGTTAGTTCTTTCATTGACCACAAAAAAATGTAATTAACACGTTGCTAGTGTATAATTCAAGATTATGATAACGTACGAAACGGCTTAATCTGTGTTGTAATTAGTTTCCAGAGAAACCGACAGGTTCCAATAATTACAAATACAATAATAGAAAAAAAATTGCCGTCAACGAGCGCAGTCAATCGGATGACATGCATACGTTAATTAACTTTTATTTGTTAAGTGACAGCAGCAAATACGCCAATTCAATTATAATGTGATTGATTTGTGAAGGTAAATTTACGATTGTGAATGTAGTAGACAAAGCAACTCTAAGTTCGTAGGCAATACTTGAGCCAACAAGCTGGAGGCAATTACTGGTTCAAAGACAACAAGCATAAAGAGCATAAGTGTCGGAACGCGGCATCGCTTCGCGTAAATTAAGCGTTTTTATTGTGCCCGCTACTGCTACCTATTTTTACCACTTTAACTATTTTTATCATTTTTAGTGGGCACGCGCCGCCCCGAACAACTCGCTTTTTATCCCTCTTTACGTAAAGTAAACGTGTATCTATATGATACTAATAATAGATTCAACATACACTTTTGTGTCTTCTTGTTTTTAATTACATATAAATTACATATGATTTTCATTAATTTTTAATGTAAATTAAGTACTCATACATATTCTATATTACATTTGAATAATATTAGGTTACACACTAGATACTGTTATTATTAGTAGTTATTTTTCTGACTAACTAGATTTAATATTATTTAACACTCACAGTTTTAAATAAGTATGTAATACCTAAGTAAATAATAGTACTGATGCAATTCGAACACTCTTAAATATTTGCGTAGGTATATAGCTAAGTATACAATACGTTAAGTTTACAACAGCCTCTAATGTTTAAAATAATAAATCAAACAAGTGAGGAGCTTATTAAAGATAAAAACATCGCTGTTCTTTACACAATGCACGGTGCAAAAGATTGTTAGTTTTTTAAGAGCATTGCTCCCACCTGCTGCTGTCGCGTGCCTCTTGTATCAACATATAACTTTATACTAAAATACGTAAAGAATAAGGTTCAAAATGGCACTGCAGGATACCAATGCAAGGAAGTGTTTTAGATAAAAAAGTGCGTCGTTGTCTCATTCTGTTATAGTGCATCATCTCTGTTCAGCAGGATGTTTAAGTTCTTTTATCTCGCACACGCCGTCGCACCTTGCCTCAGTTTCGGGAGCAGACCCTCGCAATGTTTCACCGCGATATCTATAAATTAGGCAACAACGAGATATCTGTACCTGTAACATTTGCAGATACACAAGCCAGTTTGGCATTGGAGCAGGTGTCGCTCTATCTAATCTAAAATCAATATTATGACGTTAATTAAGGAAAATAAGTATCGACAAAAGACGCATCGAAACTGCATAGTTGATTTATGTTAGTGTCGAACTAATTAAATTTACAGTAAATTGGGTAGTTATAACTCAAATACGTACTTAAATTATATAGTTGAATAGATATAATTAAAAAAGAAAACACTACATTTTATTGTTCTTTTTATTATTTTCTTGGGTACATTACAAATTAATTAATTAAAGTAAAATGTAACAAATATTTTCGTAATTCGAATTCGTATTTTTATGTAAAGTAATATTGTAAAATAATTAAACTGTATTTTATATCAAACTATGATATAAAATACAGTTTTAGTATGAATACTAATACAGAAGTTTAATATTATAATACTTGTCAGCGAATGCGAGAATTTAGACCCATAGTTCAGTGATAACTATTAAATAAAACCATCCCTGTAGAACGATAATTGGACACATATTTAATGATATAAAATATTATGCCTGATGGGGTCAAACATATACGGCAATGAGTATTTTGATAAAAGGAGTGCTATTAGGAGTGCTGTACTGGAACATCAAAAGTCATCGGCGTGGGTACCTCAGTCTCACCTATTTCAGCCGTCAAGTAACTTGCTTTAGAAGCTGTGTTTCGGCTGAAGGATGGTGTAATATATACTATAGAGAAATAAGATCTTAGTCCTCCTGAATGGCAATCATTAGCATCACATGATAACTGATGGTATTCAGTGATCAAGCGGGTTAACACACCCCTCATTGCCGATGGTTGCGAGTTCGATTCCTCGCATGATGCAAACATTTGTATTCATGAGTACGATTGCGTGTTGTGTGTAATGATCTTTGTATTTTCTATGTATATTATGTATATTTACAAAAATATATCACATCATTTATTCATGTAGGACATTTTAGCCGCTTATGAACTTCAGAACCTTAGTATTTTTTTTTTGTTATGTATTCTTAATTAATAATGTTGCATTTACGTATTTAAATATTTCTATGAGTTGTTTAGTATACAAAATCTTACTTAACTTGTAACTAAACAGCTCAACTAAATTGCCCAGATTATTATTACAACGACGTCATATGATTCTGGTCATGTGTATAAGCAACAGTCACTACTTATCATCAGGATTGCTGTCAACTTCTTTACTTGTTTTAGTTAAATTAAATAAAACTGTTATGTTGCAACTTTGCTTTGTATTATTATTAAAAATTTGAAGCAGAGTTTATAATAGAAATTGTCACATCACCCATTTGTCTCCTTGAATAAGAGCTTAATAATAATATGTAATATTATGTTATCTGTGATAATAATAAATAATTCCTTTTACATAAATCAGTCGCTTAATTTAACAGCGCAAAAGTAACAATTAACCAAATCTAGTAATTTTATGACACTCTATATAAATATTACAGTAGTAGGTAAGTATGTAAGTGCTTATATATATTAGATAACATCTTAAACATAAACTCATATCTCAGAAAGTTGTCTTATAATAAAATCAACCGCCTACGTCTAATGAAAGTGAAAGCTGTATATTTCTTTGTTTTGTGGAGAATGCTCCCCCTGCGTCCCACCCTCCGGCCAACATCTCAAAGGAACCAACTCTTTGAAGACGTGAAACCACAATTAAGCCTTGCCGAAGAGAATTCAAGGACACATCACATTACTTCTCGACTTGAAATGAAAAGAATTCGTAGACTCTATACCATACAACTCTCACTTTCTTTTGCTAGCTCGTGTATTATTTGCAAATGTACTATTGTTTGTTGCTTATTCAGATTTAAGTAGGGAATCCTTTCGCAACGTCATCAATTGTTGTGTTATCATAAAAAAAAACTATGGCTCAGCAGTCAAAATATTAAACCAATCCCAACATATGTATTTTATAAGGTACAGTTTTACCTTAAATCAGTATAAAATATTATACGAATTTCTGGTAACTTCTAAAGTATAATATTCTAATCTTTTTCTTTACAAATTCATAGTGTGGTTTTAGTCTATTATTAACAGGGACTTTGTTATACTTTGGGAATTTGATATTTTTATTTATATTAAATTAACTGAAAAATTATTTATTCGATTTTATAAATACTTTCCTCTTTAAATAGCTATATATAAACGAGTAACATTTTCAAATAATAATATTTACGATACCTTATAATAAAAAAAATATTATTATAATTATTATTATATACTACTTTTGTAATCACGCCAATTTTGTTGTCGAAGTGTCATAAAACTAGAGTCAAAAGCGAAAGTGAACAATGAAAACAAAGTGCGCCGACATGCGCAAGTTATTTTACCTAAAATTGCGTTTTTATCTGAAACAAAGCAAATCTTAGACTATTTTGCAAATTGGGACACAACCCGATT